ACTCAATCCGAAGAGATATAAAGAGATTCGCGAAATCTAATAGAGTCACGCGATTGGATTTCGATGAAAATGGATAACTTATCAATCGTCATCACCATGCGTGGGGCGCCGTGCGATGAAGGAGCGAGACAGTTAGCCGAATTAGGAGAGCTCCTGAAATATAAGGACATGATGCTGGGACGGGCATGTGTGACTATCTTAGGGACAAAGAAGTTAATATCTTTAACTGTCAAAGAAACGGATAACGTCATATTAGAAAGTGAGATACTAGATTCCGCTCTAAAATAACTTCTGTCGGTAACACGGGAGCTGGATCTCCATTCGATCTGTATATCGTAAACAACGGTGATTGATTACGTACCCTGGCCGTACATTCAACGGAGGCTGAGAGAGTTATTCGATCAAGAGATTTGTACAATATGTGTGTGCAAAAACATGATAAGAAAACCTGAGGAGCACGAGAAAAAGAACCTGATACACGAAAATCATTCGTCGGAGCTGGATGGTTATAAGAAGGTCACAAAAACATTCAATAGAATGCGGCAAAGATATCATCGGGAACACATGAAGAAGTAAATTCAGACATTCATTCAGAACTGTTTAGATTGCCAATTAAAAAAGTTAGTGATGGTCAATGGTAAACAAAGATGCAAAACTCATACACTCAGAGCTGCGTTCAATAAGGTTCCGATAAATGTAGTGTGTTCTCTCCCTCAAACTACGAAGGTAAATACATTCTGACAATATAGGATCATTTTATCAAGTTCTCCATCGTCGTACCTTTCCGCTACAATACCTCTCTATAGACATTGCAAATGCAATGATTACTCACCTAATATGCAAATTCGGGGCATTGTGCTTTATTATTACGGACTAAGCCGTCAACTTTCTAAGTTCACTAATGAAAGCGATAGCACGGAAATTCCGAATTAAGCAATACAAGACAAGAGCATTCTATCCGCAGTGTAACGGGTCGATCGAAAGATCACATCACGTGCTATTGGAATATCTGAAACAGTTCACAAGAAAGGAAAAAGATTGGGACGAATGGCTAGATACTGCCATGTTTTCGTATAATATCAGCACTCATGAGGGAACACATTTTTCAGCCCATTAACTTGTTTTCGGGAGGATAACTCGGCTACTGGTGATAGACCCACACTTTGACGAAAGCATGAATCAGAAATATCTGAATTATTACGTAAAATTTGTTAATAGAATTAATTATATGTAAAAGGTAGCACGACGAAATCTTAGAAGTGTCAAAGAATTGTCAAAGAAATATTATGATCGCAAGATAAATCCTTAAACATTGAATGAGGAAGACAAGGTATTTTTACTGAAAAAACCTATATTAAAATTGGGAAATCAACACACTAGCCCCCATAAGATTCTAGATCTGCTATCTCAAAACAACGTTAGGTTGCAGATGCACGGGAGAACAAAGATAGTGAACTGTAACAAATTAAAAAAATTTAAGCCTAAGTCGAATAGGTAATACTATGTTTCAGAACAATGACGCAGGCGTTATCAATAACGGCAATAATCGTATGTTCGGCAAAAATCTACCCGCTTTTTTAAAATATGATAGCGGAGAAGGGATTATGAACATCACGACTCTATCACTGTTGGACACGGGATCTGTGACACCATTATGTAAACACCGAACTTCACGCAAATCTATATCCAGGTCCTCCACCTAGAAGATTACGAACAGACACATATACACCAGTGCCGTGTAGAACTGGATCGCCTAATATATCACTGCTGAATGGCATAGCACGAGTCTGTCGTTCATAAGGGCAGAAAGATATACCTAATGGGCACAACCTCAAAAGCCTGCAAGCCGCGTTCAATACTGAAATTCTATCGATAACTCCTACGCTGCAGATATCAGGTCTGAAAGCCAATGTCATTGCGTACCGAATAGTCACACTGTCTATATCAATTTCAACTGACGGATGTTGCGTTGGAACGTAGTATGCTCACACGTACGACACAATTTATCCTGCTTCCTAAAAATGTGTTTTCAAAGAAATCGAAAGATTTCAACTTTTTATATAACGGAGATTTCACTTTTCTTTATACATGATTGGCGTATAAGTTCAAAGAAGCAAAAAACTTAACGAAATGTTTTCAAAAACCTCGAAAGCGTTTGAAACAAAAATTTGATTCTGACGTAAAGCAGTCTGTTGAATTCTTTTGAAACAAAAAAAAGTGTGACACAACTTTTATCTTTACGCTTATGTATGCGTCCATCATCGGAACGTGAAAAGTTGTAATCTCGTCCGATTCATTTAAAAGCGGATTCTATCGACCCAGAATAGAGAGAGTAACAAAACATTAACTGCACGCGAATATATAATACAAACAGCAACGGAGAATAAGCGCGTAATATCTGAGAAACGCGCAATTATCTACAAAGATAAGAGAAAACAATATAAATCCCATAGAATTTGACCCATAATTAAAAAAATGTTACCAAACGATTCAGTAGACTGAGTTACTTAGGATTCGGGGCTCGTTTTAAATGGATTCGAGGTTTTTGAATTCATTTCGACATACTTTTCCCCTCTTCGCACGAATATAGCCATCGTCGAAAAATGAAAATTTGAAATCTTGTTCGATTCCTTTGCAAACGGATTCTATCAAATCAGAATAAACAGAGTATAAGAAAATAAAGTGTATGAAAGGATACAATACGTACAGTATCGGAGAATTAGTGCCAAATATCAGAGAAATTAGCGATTCTCGATAAAGATAAATAAAAAAACGAAATAACTCAAAAGGAAGATGTACAACAGTTCAGACGATTCAGCAGTCTTCATTATATAAGATTCAAATCTAGTTTTAAAAGGCTTCAAGAATTTTAATATCTTTTTATTACGTTTTAAGTCTCCTCGTCAATATACGGGCATCGTCGGAGAATGAAAAGTTGAAATCTAGTCCAATACATTTGGAGACATTCTTTCAACGCAGAATAAAGAAAGTAACCAGAATATAATTTGCTTACAAGAATACAGTACGTACAGCAACGGAATATTAGTGTGCGATATCAAAGATACCTGCGATTCTCGACAAAGATAGGAAGATTCGAAATAATTCGGAAAGAAATTATGCCACAGTTTATACTATGTTACCAAGCAATATAATAAATTATGTCACATAAAAATGAAGTCTCATTTTAAACGGATTCAAGGTTTTTGATATCATATTGCTACGTTTTACGCCTCTCCACCCGTATATGGTAATGATCGGAACACGGAAAGTTGAAATTTCGTCTGATTCCTTTGAAAACAAATTCTATCGATTTAGTTTAAAGAGAAAAACGAGACTGATTCATGCTGTCGAAGATATTATTTGAACTTCAACGCAGAGTTGACGTAATATTGGAGAAACCTTAAATTCTTTCCTCACATAGGTATGACTAAAAATAACTGCGACAGAGAATGTACTATACTTCTGGAAATGTTACCAATGGAATCAACAGATTAAATAACATAAGAAATATGTCGTGATTGAGACGGATTCGAGGTTTTCGATAATTTTTCGTTACGTTTTGCTTCTATTATCATGTATATTGTCACCGTCGGAACATGAAATCTCATTCAATTCCTCCAAAAACGGATTCTGTCTGTGTTGCGACACTCATCGTATCGCTATTGATTCGATCCGATATCTCATATAATGATACGTAAACTTTACGCTAATGATACATTCTACCCACGGGTCGTATCTTTGGCATACGTGAGTTTGGAAAAAACTGGAAAGATATCATCTATGCAAGTTTTCTCACCTATAGTTATTGCCCGTGTATTTCGTCCTCACCGATAGCTATAGGAATATTAGGTAGGATTTATAGGTTATTAGGAATGGAAGTAATTTTATATATTCGAATTTTATGACTGCGTTACAAATGATGCAATCTAGGATCGCGATGATTGCTTTCGATTCTGGAGTTGTAGATTTGAAAGAACGTAGCAGTTCGAAATTAAGACGAACTCGGAATGATTTAAGAACCTATCGCGACACGAGAATACTTTTCCTTTATTATTAACGCAACTAGGGTTATAGAATGAACGCGAAGTATAATAAAACTTAGATTTATTAATCTTAAAAAAGGGAAAGAAATTATAAGTTTCACAATAGTCGCTTCCTGTCGAAAGATCGGAATAAATTTAATTCGTCGAAGAATGAAGTGCAATATTAGTGGAGGAGCTTCGTAGAATGCTTATATTGCGTTCGTTGTCCAATCAGTGTGAAGCAGTTGGATGCTGCGTTGCTATTGGTCCGCACCCTTCTTCATCTTACGCGAGAGAGAACAGCCAATGAGGTTACGTTGACCATAATTTTGCACTGCCATTGGTCTGGAGCGTCGTGCGTAGAGCTCCAGCGTAGGTGAAGGGTAAAGCCGTTGCCTTGGCGTTGAGGAGGGAAGTTCGAAAAATCTTATGACGTCGTGGAGGAGAGCCTATTTAATGTAGGGCATGAAGAAAGTAATAGTGCAGTCTTAAGAATTAACGAAGAAAACACGTAGTGACGTATTTTTGTTAATGGCCTTCTGTTACTTGTTCTTCGGCGGACTAAACACATGTTCCCGCGCCTTGTTTGTATCCCTCAGTTATCTGTTTTTGGCGATGCGAACACTTGGAGACGCGTCACGTTGTTTTCCTGCTGCTTATTTTTTAGACGTAAGCAGCTGATCGAGATGTATTGTTATAAGTCAGCTGTTTTAACGCTATTGTACTTTCGTAATAAAAACTATGTACTTCGAAAAAAGTAGAAATTCGTATAATACACATGATGTTTAAGAAGTAGGGATTTATACAGTATAGCATTGGATAAGTAAAAGATTATATTTTATATTAAGAGAATATATCATGCGTAAAGGATTATTACAATAGTATATATATACTATATATACTATACTATATATACTATATATACCAGTTCCAGAACTGTCGCACAATTCGTCGGAATTATTTCGATTGTCACCCATCTGAATCCAGAATCGCACGTTTATTCGATATTACGACAATTCTCCGTTTCAATTCGAATAGTATCCCCGCAAGAACGTTATATTCTTGTTACTCTCATAAAACCGCTAAATTGTTCGAACAGATTTAATAATAAGACAGATTTAAAGATTTAACATCACCGTCACTGTTGCGTCGTGTGGGCGCAACTACGAAAGCGATTTTAGATACACGTCTCGCAACGGACCAGCGATGACAGTCGATTTGCACGGAGAAATATCCCCCGTCTCGTCCTTGTTGTCCGAGCTATAGATCCACTGGTCGCGATGAATAAGGATCACGACACTAGACTAGGATACCGTTGTAGGTCGTCAGCAAAATACCGCTCGCCGCGTTCTCGTAAATTAATGAAAATCCTCTTTTAAAGGATTCCGTGAGATTCGAGAAGTAAATGTGCGATATTAAATGTTGCGCGCGTTGAAATTATCACCGTATATTTGATGAAATAACTTACAATTGTTTATGTGTTTCGTGTAATGATGTGTTTAGTGGTAGAGGTGATTAGTTGTACTGGCTGTATCTGAAGGAGATTTGAGAGCTTAGATGTTGTAAGTCTGAAAAATATAACTTAACTGCTTTTTTAGTGTCTAGAACTATCCACGCAGATTGTAATGAAATTGGGAAAGGGAATAAAAAGGGCGGAGTTGAAGTATGGAAAGGGAAAGAATAAATGCCTACTGATCGGTTATAGTTCATTGGAATTAAACATTCCATGTAAGTCTCCTTTGTTCTAATGATGGTGTGGTTAGAGGATGCTAATGAATATTTCAAAGCTAGAAACCAGATAACCCTTGGCTTATCGCGCCTACGCGTCTACTTTCACTGTTTACTTATTGGCCGAAATGACATATTATCAAAACCCAGATACTTTACTAAGAATACCTAAGCCCAGACAATGTGTTTTTTATCTATGCGTTTTGTTAGTTAATATCCAATAGGTTCCCAAGGATAAATATTTTCGATGGTGATATATGACCCTTAAGAGAAAGTATCATGAACAATAGAGAAACGTACATGTGCGTCAACAGTCACTGTTGCCCGTCTATACGACTGAGATTCGGATCTTTCATCCATCGACATGTTGGGTACACCTAGGAGCAGTTAAATATGTACTCATGTATCTTCTATATGCTCGCAGATACTTATTGATTGACTGCAGGGATGAGTATGCGAGACACGTTGTTTCCTATTTCCATGACTCTTAGCATAAAAAATAGACATCGTGTGTTAGTCCACACACAATCGTGTGTGTGTCACAATTATAATCATTTGATATATGTATATACATATATCAAATGTATATATATATATATATGTATATATATATATATATATATATATATATATATATATATATATATATATAGTTTATATGGATTTCTATAAATACATAATTACTTACATATATAGTCTGGCTCTGATGTTACTGAAGTTTGATACTTATTGACTATAAACTGTTTTACTGACTCTAAATAACGCGAATTTTCAATAAAATTGTGATAATCACGTAATTGTAAAATAATAATTCTACATGTTGCGCGCGCGCGTAAAATAATGTTGTAATTATGATTTTAAATTAATGAACAATGTCAAGCGTTCGACAAAGACGTATCTACAATTTATTATGACCATTACTTTACTTCTAACAAATTGCAAAGATATAAAAACAAAAGAAAAAAAAGAGAAAAAGAATGAAAAAATAATGATAACTCTTTCAGAAATTAGATCAAAAGTTCCTACAAAAATGTATATATTTTTTTCTGCAACATTAACGATTATTCTCATATGTCAAGGTGTTGCGTTTAATCTGAAAAAAATTTAAATGAACCTTATTATAAATGTTATACTTATACAAATGGAATGTAAAAATGTTTATAAAGTACTTAAAGTGTAAGCAGAACTAATGACAAAATTTGATACTTGAAAATATAATCAGTTTTAAATTCTTACCTTCTGTTAAGGATGATAACAACAAAAAAATACTGCTATATTACATCCAAGATTAGGATGAATGTTACATTAACTATTTTTCCTTTAAATTCGTTTTCTTGCTGCTCTTGTATTTGTAAGTTTATGCATGTTCCATAAACAATTCTATTTTTTCATCCATTTATGAGTAGTAAAATAATACATTATCAATATTTTACACATATAACCTGAAAAATTTTTAAATCAATTAGTAAACGTACAAAACCAATAACTTAATCGCTTTCTGTCTTATTCACCGAGTTTATTAATCTTTTAAAGCTTTATTAAATAACATTTCTAGACACAGAATATATTTATTCTTTCCATTAATTAAAAAAAATTATATTCAAACGAATTATCACTTTAATGAATTATTCGTTAACAAAAAAAAAAGATAAATAAATAAATAAAATAAAATAAAAATAAAAAAAGAAATTAATCCAGCACAAGTATTTTTTTGCATATTATCGAATTTTAAATCTTTAATTATTTTATTCTTTGTATCGTGCGTATCTATATATATACAAGTCCCATATAAAAAAATATCAATTAATATTATTCAATAATAAGAAAATACAAGTGTATTAACGAAATGAAAATATATTGTGCCAAAAAATGATATGTCCATATTAACTATTTGTAGGTCACACCAAAAGCTATATGCGTACCAAAATGCATAATGTACTAATGGTTTCATTTGTGACGTCATTACATGTAAAAAGAATTTATAAAATTCATAAACAAAGCAAAAAAATATGAGAAAAATTCTTCTTACCTTCAATCAAAAGTATCAATATATTCGTTATGATCTCGAAAAAAAGGCTCCAATGTTGGCTGATACTGTTTTCTCTCATATATGCTGTTAGAAGATGTATCAGTAAAACAAGTCGAAAATTTTCTAATTCAAAAGACAAAAAGGAACAATAATATTATAACCTTTATATAAAACAAATATATATATATATATATATATATATATATATATATATATATATATATATATATATATATAGATGATAGAACAATAGACAAGGAAAGAAGATAATGGAAATTTCTTTTTATTTATTTTCGACAGCTATCCAATTAGACTTCTTTTCTCTCTCGGATATTGCATATGGAAATATGACAAAAAAGAAATCATGCTCTTGTTAAACATCGTTTTAAAGATGTCAAAAAAAATGTTTCTTATAAAAATATTAAAGATACAAAATGCTATCGTATATAAGTAAACGTTTCCATCAAAAATGATCTCTTTTTATAGAAAGAATGAGAGAGAGAGAATGAGAGGGAAATAAAATGTTTTTTGATTTTATTTATTTATGGAGATTTTAACTATTATTTTTCTCATAGAAAAATTCCATATAAAGAAAGAGAGAGAAAGAGAAAGAAAGAGAGAGAGAAAGTGAGAGAGAAAAGGAGAGAGAAAGGATGAGATAGGGAGAGAGAGGGAGGGAAATAACTTGTGTTTCTTCATTTTATCTATTGAAGAGTGAGGTAATGAGAAATAGAGAAAGCGAGATGTAGACAGGAAACAAAGAAAAAGAAAGAGATAGAAAAAAGAGAGTGATGGAGGGAAATAATTTGTGATGTTTGTTTTTGTTTATGATTTTGTTTATGTTATTGATCTTGTTTTGTTTTTTAATATTTTAACTATTATTTTTCCTAATGAATAATTCCATATAGAAAAGTGAAATGTGGATAGAGAGAGTGACAAAAGAGAGACAGATAGAGACAGAGAGACAAAAACAAAGAAAGATGACGATAGATAGAAAGAGGAAGAAAGTCTAAGAGAGAGTGAGAGAGATTGTTTTTTTATTTTAGAAAATTTTAACTACTAATTTTCCCAATGAATATTTCCATATATGAACAAAGAGATAGAGAGCAATAGAGAAAAAGAGATATAGAGTGAGAGAGAAATATGGAGATAAAGAATGAGTGAGAGAGGAAAATGATCTGTATTTTTTGATTTTATTTATTTTTTTAGATTTTAACTCTTAATTTCCTCAATGGTTTATTTCATGAAAAGAAAAGAGAGTTAGTGGGAGAGAGAAAGAGGGAAAGAAACAGATAGATTGATTAAACTTCCTCAACAATTACATTAAAAGTTAAAATATATATAATCTTCTACCATTCCTTTAAACGAGTATAATCTTATTATTTTATTTCGGCTAGTAAGGCGTTGTATATTTTCACTCTTTCAAAAAATATACTATTTTGCGCACTTCTTGTTTTACGAAATTGTATAACATCTCCGCCTTATCATGTATGTCTTCCGTTTTCATTACCTATTATCTCCAATCTATTACTTAATTTTCTAGATAGTAAATTTATTATAGTCTTAAAAATAAATATATTTACATTATAACATGATCTCTGCCCGAACTCTTGCAACATATGTTCCATTGTGGTATATTTGTTGCATTACAACATAACTCTCATTGCCCAATTTTGCGATATTTGCAACTCATTCAGTTTTCTCTCCCATATCCATTAGCAATGTTGGACAATATTCGAAATGTACCATTATGTTGGATTTGTATATAGTATATCTTGCATATGCTGTTATATAATTGCCTATTCTATTTAAAAAGCTAATTTTCTCACCTATCTTTTTTAATATATAAGAAAAAAAGGTCCTTAAATTTAAGTTTATCATCTATAATTACTACGTATTTTATTTTCTTTACACGTTCTATCTCGATTCCATCTAAAGTTTTCAAAACAATGTTTCCTTTCAATTCTTTTCTTACACTTTTAACTATCATATATTTTGTTCTTTTTAAGTTCATTTTTAATTTATTCATATTCATCCATTCTTCTACTGTATTAAATACCTTATTCATTTCTGACTTTAATTGCACGCTACTTTCTCCGATGACATAGACTAATGTATCGTCCGCAAACATTTTTATACAACATTCTTTGAGGCATATTGTAATTATATCGTTCACAAATAGAATAAACAATAAACATCTTAATAATGATCCTTGCGGCACTTCGTGTTCAGTGATAATTAATTCAGATCATTTATAAAATGAACCTGTTGCGTTCTATTATTTATATATAATCTAAACCATTCTAAAACAGTTCTTCTATTTCCATATTGATACTGTTTTTCTATTAACCTTTTTCTGTCCACTGTTTCAAAAGCTCGCTTAATATTCTTAAAAATCACTCCCACCAGTTTTCTCTCGCTAATTACTAATTTTCATTCGTCAACAACTTTTTATATTGCCGTTTTGCACGAATTCTATTTTTTAAAACCTGATTGGTGTTCTGTAATAATATCGTTAAGTTCCAAAGACCTTTCAACTTTTTTACTATTAATTCTAGCACTTTCTCATAGGTTGGTAGCATATTAATTGAGCTGTATTCAGTTGCTTCTTTTGTTTATGCTATCTTTGAAATTGGTATTTTCGTAGATGTTTTCCAACTCTCTGAATAGCAACCTTCTTTCAACGAGTTATTTATTTTCTCCATAAACTCCTTCTTTATTTTATAAAACACCAACTTTAATATATCAGTCGTTATTCTCTCTTCAGTTCCTTTCTTTTTTCGGCAACCTCATAACAATTTCCTTTAAGTTGTTTATAATAATTATTCTAAAATTCTCTTTACTAACCCCTTTATTTTCAGTAATATACGTAATTTTTTTACCCATGCCTTTTGTTTTGTCATTATCTACAGATTTGACTATATTATTAATACTTTTCATGTAATATTCATTAAATTTATCAGCTAAGTTATATACATTATTAAGGTATATAACTATATATAATAGTTATATAATATATATAACTAAGAATCCAAAATTTGTTATCTATATTTTTCATATCTTTTGATTTTCTATTAATAATTTCTTTTAGAGTTCTCCATATTTTGGTAGGATGTTCTCTATTATTATCTATCATTTTTTCATAGTGTCTTTTTTCTTTTTCTTATTAACTTAACTACTGCATTTCTTTCAATTTTGACCTGCAGCCAATTCTGTTCCCCTTCCTTGTATATTATCTTCTTATACGCTTCATCTCTCTTATTTGCCGCCACTCTTATATCCTCCAAAAACCATCTTTTCTCTTCCCATACTTTTGGGATTTAAAATTTTTTTTCGGTGGTACAGTGTCCAATACCTCCACTATATCATCCAAAAATTTATTAGGTCTTCTATTTATTTCAATGTTCTGACCTTGTCCAGTTCTATTTTTTACTAACCTAACAAATTGATCTATATTAAATATTCTATAGTCTCTAGCAATAAATTCTGTACACCTATTTCTAATTTTCTTTATGTATAAATCAGATTGTAGTCACGCATGATCTGTTATTTTAGTTTTAAGAAGTACTTGAACTTGTACATTTTTATTAGCAAACAATAGATTTGTGATTGCTTGACTGTCTTTAGTATTTCTTGTCGGCTTGTTGATATATTGTTTAATACCTAAACTTAACATTGTTCTTTGAAATTTTTTTACATAGAACGCATCTATTATACAGTTTATATTAAAGTCTCCTAATACCATACGTTCTCCTTTTATAGTTAGTTTCTCTAAATTATATCCTCTAAATAATTCACAAGATCACCATGTGATGCACTCGTGAATGATATACTATCATTATCGTATCTTTATATACCTTTTCTTTTTATTTTATTGCAACCAACAATTCGACATCAGTTTTTTCGTCATTATTATTTCGTATTTAACATCATGTCTTATATATAAATATATTGTTCCCCCTGTATTTTTATTTTCCGAGTTACGTATGATCATACTGTCTATTCTGTCTAGTTTCAGATAGTGCTATAATTGCAGAATTCAGTTTCTTCATAATCAGATGCTGTATCTCGTCTTTATGTGATAATAAACTTTGTATATTTGGATATACAATTATTTCTTCTCGCTGTAGCTGCTATTTTGCATCTTACCTGCAGACTTTCCTCTTCTCATCTTCTCTTAAGTGTTGAGAGAGAGAGAGAGAGAGAGAGAGAGAGAGAGAGAGAGAGAGAGAGAGAGAGAGAGAGAGAGAGAGAGAGAGAGAGCGAGAGAGAGAGAGAGACAAGAAGAAAACCTTTACACATCTGTGTCATGTATCTGGTTAGAACCGAAATCTGTTTCGACGTTGGTTATCTAAAAAGCGAATTACGATGGCACGTTGCACAATGT